GCGGGAGCGTGACATCTCTCCCCCAGTGTTCCGGATTTGAAAAGCGGGTCTGCGTGGAGGACAGCATGACACCCAGAGTCATTAATGATCAGGGTAGAACGTGGTCGGGGGTGATGCCGCCCTGCGTGTCGCCACCCCGGTCTGGGCTAACGCCCACAGGGGTGCCCACAGCCCTGGAGCAAGGAGGCTCTTCTCGGTGCTGCCAGGTGACTCAGTTTCCTTCCTTTGGAGCAGCTGTCTGTGGGCGCGGTGCCCGTGATGCTGGCGGGTCTCCGTGTCTGGGAGCGGCCCTCAGTGCCGGGTGGTGATGCAGGCAGCGGCGGAACGCTGCTTCACAGAGATCCCTCGGATGCCCTTCCGAGCCCCAGGGCCAAGGACGCTGTGTCCTCTGTCCCCGCAGGTATTTCCACTGTCCAGCGGACAGCTCAGAGCTCGCCTACGACCCACCGGCGGTCATGAATGCGGACACCTTGAGCTACTGTCAGAAGGAGGCCTGGTGCAAACTGGCGTTCTATCTGCTGTCCTTCTTCTACTACCTTTACTGGTGAGTGTGTGTCCCTCCTGGCGCTTTGGGTCCTGCAGGCGCTTTGTGCCTCCTGCTCTTGGGGCGGGGGTGGGCTGTGAGGGTGGGGGTCGCAGCCACAGGGGTCTGATGCCAGCTGTCTGACTCAGTTGGGAGCCTGGGCTCGTGCACGGAGGCATGAGGGGTGGCGGGTCCTGCAGGAGGCCTGGCCCCTAGTGGGCCCATCCGCCGGGCCTCACAGAGAAACACGTTGTCCCCACACCTCTGGTGAGGCTGTTGGTGACACGCAGCTGGTCACTCCTTCCCCATAGGGCTCCATCCCCAGCTCAGCCACTTGGGTCCCCTGTGGCCCCTAGCCCACGTGGAAGCATCTGGGGAACAGAACAGAGACCCGGGGGGGCGGTTACGCATCTCAAAGGGGCATGCGGGGTCACTGAGTGCTCAGGCTCACGACACTGCCAATGTTATGTAACTCGCTGATGAGGTAGACCATGCTGACTTTGCGATCGTTCAGCAACCCCCCATGTCTACACCTCTGCACAGAGCGGTCTAAGCGAGGCAGATGGCTGAAAGCAGACTGCCCATGGCCAGGCCCTGAGAGCACCTTCTCTGAAAGCGTCTCCCTCCTGTTCCTCTTTGGGCTCATTTCTGGGGCACCTCACCTGCCACCTCACTACGCGGTGTCTACCTGCGTTCGGCCAGGAAAACTGCCGGTGTCCCGGTGCTGCTGTTGGTGCTAGCCGCGTGAGGAAGAGGAGGGTGGGGTGTTAGCAAGGCCGCCCCAGGCTTGGGGCGGGCTGGGGAGTGGCTGCATTTATCCACACCTAAAAATGAGCCGTGCTTCAAGCCAGGAGCTTGGTATGTACCGCTCAGTCCGGGGGCTAAAGGCCTTCATTGCCCACTTGGTGACAATCAGGAAACGGAATCCCAGACGTCCGATGTTTTCCCATGTCACAGCTAAGAGTGCATCTCGGGTCCGATCCCAAACACGGAGCTCTGCACTGTCTCAGCAAAGCTCTAGAAAAGTCTCATCAAAGTGTGCTCTTTGGGCTTCCTGCATCAGAAGCGGGGGGGGGAGGTGGGTGTGCTTCTGAAAAGTGCAGATTCCTGGGCTTGGATCTGCTGACTCAGGATTTCGGGGGTGGGCATCCTCCCTGGGGGTGAGACCTGCCCCCCACCCCGGAGGTGCTGCTTGGGTCTGCCCCCTCACCCCAGCGTGTCCCAGTGTCCAGAAGACTCAGAGCCCCCGGGCGTGTAACATACCTCTGGGATAACTCCCCTTGGAGGGGAGTCAGAGTTCTAGCACATTCTCTTTGGGGTCAGCGTTGGTCCAGGCTCAGGGTGACCCCTTCCCCCCTCCTTCTCTATGGAGGGTCCTGGGACATTGTCTGCTTCAATGTACAAGGAGCCCGAGGGTCTCTGAAGCATCTCTGGAGGTTTCTGAGGCACCCAGCAGATCTGCCCGGGTCTCTCTGACTCCGACTCAGAACTTTCTAGCCACTGAAGCTCGCTCAGGCTGGTTCCTGCCTTGGGAAGCCCATAGAGGGTGGCCCCAGCCCTCCAGGCTTAAGGACTTGACACCGTGGGCTAATGTGAGGTGCTGGAGTGAGCTCAGCCTCCTCTGTGGGGATCTGCAGATGCCCCCACTGCAGAGTCAGGAGCCTGCCCCAGAGGCAGCCGTGCCCCCCAGGCTCCTTCCCCGTTCGTCTGGGGTCCACCTTAGTCCAGATGGAGATGGAGGCAGGTCACGCCCCCTCGTTTCAGTTGTATTGCCAGCATCCGTCTGTTGTGAGAAAGAAGACCTGGGAAGGCATGCAAAGTAGCTCCTCCCTTCCTGTGGGGCTGCGGGGGGCGCGAGGGGGCGGCGGGGGGGG